CTTGGCCCTTCAGTTCTGGCCTCTGCCTACAGATCTGTATCCAAACCCCTTTCGCAGACACCACACAATTCCTTACCCCACCGCCCTGCCCCTCTCTTTCCTTTGACATCCTCATATTCTTTTCCTCCAGCAAGAAAGTCTTCATTCAACCTCAGAGGATAAAAAGTCTCCCTATTGTGTGTTTTCTTTGAACTGGATGCTCTCCTTTTCATAAATATAATTTTTATTTATTCGTGTGATTATTTAAAGTCAGTCTCTCTCTAGGCTCATGAGATCGCAAACTTCATAATATGGGGAAACCTCTGCTTTTTGAGTCATTATACCGTCATCATGGTTTAAGTACTCTGCCTGGCACAAAGCAGAACTTAAGAAAATATCTGTTGAAAAATGAACATAACTATTACATTAAATAATACAAAGAAAAATGAGTTTTAGATTCTGCTGGTCTCTCGACCTCAATTTTTTAAAAATAAATTAATTTATTTAAATTAGTTTCAAGTATACAGTACATTGGTTAGACATCTATATTGTTCATAAAACGATTTCCCCAATTGCTTCCTCCCTCCACTTAGCCATCATATTAATGCTAACTGCATTCCCTGTGCCGTGCCCCGCATCCTCATGTGCAACTATCAACTACTAATTTGTACTTCTTTAATCCTTCACTGCATTGTCCCAGCCTCCCAGCTCCCCACCCCTCTGTCTGTCACCAAATTGTCCACTATATTTGTGAATCAACCTCAATTTTTTAAAAATGTATTTATTTATTTTTGCTGAGAAGGAAAATTACATTATACATTACTTACTAAAAATATTGATATAGCTTATGCTAGCTTGTCAAATTGAATTATTAAACTTGAAAACTCCCACATACATTTTTAAAAAATCAGATTATTATGGGTCTTCCACAGTGCCCATCTTTCAAAAGAGATAACTTTGGCTTTTACTTCAATGAGCATGATCTTCCACCAGAACAAGATGATCCCAAGTACCACTGAATTCTACCACTTTTCCAGAATTGGAATCATGATATGGGGAAAAACTCAGCCAACATTAACTGATAACAGAGATTATGCTAGTCTTTCAGGATGAAAAACACACTTATACATGCTTAGCATCCTGTTCAGATTTTTTAAATTAATTATTTAAATTATTATTGCATAAATAATTCTTATCTGATTTGTTGATACATACTAGATATTAGCTAGTAAGTAGAGTAAAAATTAGTGTTTTGCATAATTGTAAGATTTTCACGCCTTCCATGTTTATTATTTATGCTGCTGGCAAAACTGGATCGAATTTAGTCTTTCTAAGATAATGACTATATAATTTATTTTATGAAATAAAATTTTGTCAGTTCTAGTGCTTCCTAAATCTTTCTTATCCATAAACATTTTTATCAGTTTACCAATAGGAAATTTTAAATACAAAAGACAAAAAAAAAAAGATTTGTGTATGTTGATTTATTTGATTTATTTATTAAATAAATTATTTATTTATTTTGAGGACTTCAAAAAGGATCTGGTTAATCAGATATGTTTCTTTTGATACTATATCTTGGAACATTATTCCTGTAAATGTTAAGATAAATTTTACTCAGGATTTTTTTTTTGCATCCTACTGTATTTAAAAAGATGTGATATATAACAATCCTTAGATTCTCAATGAGAATATCGACTTCTGAAACATTCTTATGTATTATTTCATGTTTCTAAATGCATTAGCAAACCCCTTTAAAGGTGCTATTTGAACTCAATGGAAAGTCCTTAGCTCTTATCCTCTGACATTGGTCTCATGACATCACTTCCGTTTCTGAATATCTGGTATGGATTTTCCTTCACTGTGTAGTTGTCTCATTCACTCATGCATTCTCTTACTCGCTTTCTCATTTATTGAACCATACAATTGTTTAACAAATATTTCCAATTGTCTGCTACGTGAATAGAACTTAAGGACACAAAGAAATATTGGCTGTAGTTCTCAAACTTGAAGGGGCTACAATGAAAATATTTGAAACAAGTCAAAAAGTGTAAATACTGTAGGAATTTAGAATAAAGGTGTTTGTTGGCTCAGATTATTTTCTAATTGTATCATAATAATAGTTCTATCAACAGGCTCTAATTTCCCATAGTATACATCTTAGCTTTTGCTGGGAAATGATAAAAATGCAGACAATTTAAAGGGGGGGAAAAAAAGAAGTAAAATAGTTGCTGTTTGTTCCTAGAGTTAGATTGGTGTATATAATGTCAAAAAAATTATTCAACAAAATGCAATAGTTTCAATGAATTTTTTTCTGAAGAAGAATCATAGTATTGAACCAAGTTTTAAGGTACACACAAGTATCCCTGAATTATTGAAAAACCTATTACAGGGATAATGAAAACCAACTCCAAATAAAGTATTGGGCTTTCAAGGAAAGCAGTATTCACTTTCCAAGCTTCCATCTAAAGTTCTCCCACATTCTTCTCTCTCATTTTCTCCCCGAAAAAAAGATATTGCAGCAGGCTATCAGGAAGCATATTTGCCAGTTCCTTCGATGAAATCACTAGAGAAAGGGTCCAGATTTACATTCCATTAAAGAAAAAAATTTGCAGTATTTGCATAGAGGCAATCATAAACTTGGCATTTGATGTTTATCCTTCTTTTGTTTTCCATTACAAACAATAAAAATTGAATTTAATAACAATAACAAAAAATAGAACTTATAGGCTCACTTATCTTAAAAAAAAAAAAAAAAAAAAGTCCCAGCCTATAGCATTTAAAATCTGGTATAATGAGGCAGACATTATAATCAGGAGACAGACATGGTTCACATCTAATCATTTTAAAACAAGCTTTTAGTGTTGGTGGCTATATGATTTAACAAAATGCAATATGTTCAAATTCGTGTAATGAGAATTATTTGAAAAATAAATCCCTTTTGTTCCTGATTTACTATTTAAATTCACTTACATTTCTCCAGTTTCTTTCTTTTGGTAGCCCAATGGAAATAAAATTTTAGAACCCTTATACAGCTTGATCATTATTTCTTCTCAGTGTATAATTAATCAGCAGGGACACTGTAGATGTTAACTTCTTCCTACAGCACAAGTTACAATTTTAAGCTTTTTTTGCCTCAATTTTTTCCCCACTCTGCAAAACGATATATAAATTTTCGTCAACTTTGTAAAGGATCACTCACTTGATTTCTTATAGCATTAAATATTCTTTTAAATGTGCCACTAAAGTAGAAGGCATTATTATTTATTGTCTGTGTGCACATAGATTTAGGATCATGTACAAACTGGTTTGACTGTTTTGACTGATTACCAGTTAGTTTCTAAAAACAAGAAAGAAAAGGTTAGAAAACCAAAGAAATTATTTGGCTGGTGCTGATTTTTTTTTTTTTTTTTTTTTTGGACTAACTCAGTCTAAACTCAGTCTGATTTTTTTTTTTTTGGACTAACTCATCCTAACTCAGTCTAAAAACTCAAACCTTTTACATGAGAGGAGTATACTTTAACTCATAGAATAAAGGAAACAAACCAAGCATTTTTTCAAAAACACTATTCTAGTCAGTGTTTGCTGCTGGGCTGAAAAACAAAAACAAAATTAAAAAGGTGCCCCCAACCTATCTTTCGCATTCTTTAATGTCAGTGCCACTTGCTGTGATCTGTGCTGTGCAAGAGTAGTCACTGTCCCTTGATCCCAGCACATTTGACAAGTACCGACACTCTGGGCATACTGTACAACAAAATAAATACATTAGCAAAACCATTTCCCCCTTCATTTCAACCCAGGCATAAGAGATAGGTTACTTAAAATTCAAGTGCCAGGAAAGCCTATTGTAGAAGGGAAATATTTTCAAGTGAATTCCGTTTGATCTTTTTTTATAGGGGCTCCTACCAGCCTCTCTCTCTTCCTCCTCATACCCTGGAAACCAATTAGTCTCAGCACGGAGGCCACAGACCAGGTTGAAATGGTTCCTTTTTATTTTTAGGGGGTATAATTTCAGCCAGGATGTCTAGTCACTTGTCACGAAGTACACTTAGCACACTTCTTTCTCACACAGACATCCATTGGATTTCCCTTTGGAAAATGCCTAGATCTTTGAGTCTGACTCCTGGAAAGGAATTAGATCTGGTTGCCGTCCAAATCCTTCAGCTCTGACAATGGCATAACATCACAGGGCCACCTCATCTTGCACAGGCAGCTTTGCCAACCAAGTTTTCTAAAAGCTTTCTCTTCCTTGTCTTGTCTTCTAGCATTTCAGTGTCTTTCTCTTTCCTTATGTTGTTTGCATACAATTCTGAAAACCTTTTCTCCCCCCAGAGAAAAGGGGACTAACAATTTTTAAAACGTTTGTGAAGGGCTTCTCTTTTGGGGAAAACAGTGACCCAAAGACAAAAACGAAAACAGTTAGAGTCTGCCTCTCCTCACCTCCCTATCCTGAACCTGCCTTAATTCGTGGAGGTGAAAAAAATTGTCAGTTGGGTTGGCCTTTTCTTTCTTAGAAACACCATTGCAGAAAAAAAGGTGTGTGTATGTGTGTGTGTGTATCTGGAGAGTTGAAAGGCTTAAGGAAAGGGTTCATAGCTCTCCCCCTGGAAAGCCTAAGCTCAGCAGATGGGAGGGGACCCAAGGTCGCCTTATCTGGTCTGAGCTCAGTGCCGAGCCCCTCTTCTTGCCCCAGCAGCGAGCTCTGCGCCCTGGAGCTGTGCCAGGACTCCAGACAGTGCCTGGCAGGTCGGTTGGAGGGGGAGGGGGGAAGCTGGGTGTTCTCGTTGCAGAAGACTCTCATTTGGAGGGAAAACTCCCTTTATTGTCCTGGAGCTCCGTAACAACCCCCTCCCCGGCCCCCTATCATTTTTACGCTGATCACACTCATGATGATGAACTTGCAGCACAGCTTCCTGCCGCCTGCTTGACCCGGGAGCACCAGCAGGCTGCTGGCCTCGCCCTGAGTTCCCTCCTCCTCTTGCAACCCCGAGGCCTCGGGGCGCCGGAGGGGATTCGAGTGGGCCGGGGCTGCAGGAGGCACGCACGCGGGCGCGGGGTCCCGCCGGGGAGCGCGCACGGAGCGGCGCCTTGGCCGCCCTGCTTCCTGGAGCTGTGCTCCTTTGACCCCAGTGGCAGTCCCTGTCACTGCACTGCTCGTGCTCCCTCCGGTTCGCCGCGCCCTTGCTCCCTTTCCTCGCCCCCTCGCTCGCTCTCTCCCCAGATCGAGGCTGCTCTCGTCCTTTCTCCCCCCGCCTTCCTCTCGCGCCGCGCCCCCTAGCCCCCCGCCCCAGCCCGCAGCGGGACCTCCGAGGTCGAAGGTTCTGGCCCGCCGGCGCCCCTCGCCGCCCCCGCGCGCCCCCGGCGCGCCTCCAGCCGGCTCCGCGATGGATCGCCAGCTCGCCGGCGCTGAAGGCATCCCCGGGCCCCTGAGCGCAGCCCGGGAAAGGTAATCCGCCCGGGGAAGGGAGGCAGAGGGCGGGGGAGGGGGAGGAGGCGGCCGGGCGCCGGGTGCCGAGCGCAGGAGGAAGGGGAAAAAAAATGCACACACAAAGCGGAGCCCGGGTGAGAGGTGCCTTGTCAGAGGCGCGTGCTGGGGTTCAGAGGCTGCGGACCGCGGCTGCCCCGGTGTCCCTGACATTTGCACGAGCGGGCGCTTCCCTGGCAATTTGGAACCGAGGAGGGCTTATTTTCTACCCCCGAGCGAAAGCGAATTCTTTTTTAGGAGCTGTCTCTCTCTCACTCCGTGGCTTGCCCCTCTGCTCTCTCCCCTCCCCCCCAAGTCCTCGGCCCGCGACCTCTCAGGGTCCCCACGTCCCCGCCCCCTCCTCCGCGGGGATTTCTTAGGAGGGGAGGAAAGGGTGTCGGCGAGGGGCAACGGCAAAAGCCGGGCGGCAGGGATGGGGGTGGGGACGAAGGCAAGGCGAGCTGTTTACTAGAAAGTCCTGGGGTTGTGTGTTCGAGCAGCCCCGGCCTAGGCCCGGGTGCATTGTGTTGGCTCGAGCCCCGGGCGCCCGCGGCGGCCGGAGCGAGGTGCGGTGGCCGGGAAGGCGCCGCGTAGCTTTGTGCTCCGGCTGCGCTCCACGACCGCCCGCGGGACCGCCTGCGCG